TTGGATCTAAAGTTCCCCCAAAGAGCCAGGCTTGGGGATATATGCCTAGAATCTCAGCATCTGGGAAGCTAAAGTAAGAGGCTGGCCTAAGCTACATAGCAAAATACTGTCTCAACCAAATAAAACAAAAAACAAAACACCCTCTCTACACCAAAGCAAGCAAGCTGAAAGGATTTTCTGATTCATGAGGGCTGTAAATTGATCAGTCCATTAGTCCACTAATGAAATGGATACAATGATGGCATTTTGGGAAGTAACGGAATCTTAGGAGGGAAGGCTCTTTGACTGGAGTGGCTTGTGGAGGCCAACATTGGGAGCCGCGTGGTTCTGGAGCCCTCCCCATTTGCTCTTCCCCTCCCTCTCTGCTTCCCATCATGAAGTGAGCAGTGTTCCTCCACCGTGATGTCTACCCTGCTGTCAGCCAGCCATGGACTCAACACTCTGAAACCGTGAGCCAGCAACTGTTCTGTAAAACCATTTATGTCAGATACTCTGTGACACTGACGAAAAGCTGACCAGCACAAGTATAAAGATACAGAAGCAGTAAGTGGAGTGTTCTAGTATATACTCCAAAGCTAGAGTAACTAGAGTTCACAAAACCTGAAAATACATGTTATAAATAACCAGAAGAGAAAAGCTCCAAACACAAAGTTATGACAAGGAGCTGCAAATTATCTCGATTTGATCAGTACATACTATGTAAATAATACATATATATATATATATATATATATATACTTGAAATATCACACTATATCTCATAAACATGTATATTTATTACATATTAATAAAAAATGTTAAACTGCTTAAAGAAATGGAAATGCAAGCTATCCAGATTTGATCATGCATCAGATTATCACACTGCACTCTATTAATAGGTATGATTAGAATACAAAGAAGAAAAGAAAGAAGGAAAAGAAAAAGAAAAGTTAATTTCAGTGATTGCACCTATTCTACTTAGGAAATCCTTCATTAACAAATTTCTCTACAATAGAACTCTATGTAGAAAATCAGAAATCATAGTTTTTGTTGTAAAATTCACACATTTAACATTTGAGGCTCAACTGAAAGCAGGATCTATGTTAACACTGGAAACCCTGAACAACAATAAAGCCAAGCTAAAAATCTCTACAACTCATATAAAAGTTAAAATGGGAAGGTGAGAGCCCAGAGATAAATTATTAAATGGAATTCAGCAACTCAATCTGTAATTGGTCATCACTTTCCAAATTATTCAGTTATTTGCTTGGTACACTAAGAAACTGCAACCTAAAATAAAATAAAATTGACCGTGAAACTTAAAGGATTTGTTCAAAGCATAAAGACTCACTTTTAAGAAAACAGACTCCAGTACCATCTAGCTATGTATTACTCATTATTAATCAAAATGCTACAGGTAACATCCTACACCGAGCCACTGCTGAGCAGGGTAGGGCTCAATCATGCAGACTGATGGCATGATAGCAAAGAGCTCTTCATCTGCTGCCTGTGCCCAGGTCTGTAATGTGACAGGTAAACCTATTCTGACAGCATTTCCCCAACAATTACTCTAAGCACCACTTTACTCACCGTAATCCAGTGAAGCAGCTGTTGAGGAGGAGCTGGAAGCTGAGTTTGAGTATTGGCACTGTCACACTGTGCCATGTCCTTCACTGCCACTGCATTTACAGCTCCTAAAGTCTCAGTTTCCTAACCTGTATTCTAGGTGCCGGTGCTCCGCTAGCCTCAAAGGGGTATTCTATGGCCAGAGAAAACCCTGACAACAGCCTGACTGGTGATTCCATTTGAAATTTATGAAAAAAGGAAAATGGTACACTGTAGTAAACTTCGATACACTATCTAACTTGGGAGGAAAAACAAAATTCACTTGGATAGAGTTGAGGATCTAGAGCCTTCTTGATGTGCTAAGAATTATAGAACCATGGCTAAGCCACTTACCTTTACTTATATAGCTGAAATCTAAGCAATATCTATCCTGTCCATAGGTTTGTTTCAAGCTGGGCGTGGTGGTGCACGCTTGTAACCCCAGCACTCAGGAAGCTGAGGCAGGAGGATTGTTGCAAGTTTGAGACCAGCCTGAGCTATAGAGTGAGCTCAAGGCTAGCATGAACTGCATAACGAGACCGTCTTAAAGACAAAAAACAAACAAACGTTTGCTTCATTGTGAGACAAAACAATAATACAATACGAAACTAGTCTAAAAAACAGTAAAACATTAATTAATCAGGGCCAATAACAAAATAAGTACAATAAAACTGTCTGCTACAGGAATGCCACTCAGGTTTCATTTTAACTCATGAGAGTAGTATGTGCAGAAACTACGTATCATACTTCAAGAATTATCCCACCAAAAACTCAGCAATACTCCTTAAAAGTGGACATGCTCCTTATTAGAGTATATGTTACTGAAATCACATTGCTTATATGCCCCATGCTGTTGGTCATACTACTGTTTAGAAGGAAAAACAATTTAAATTGAGCATTGATCTGGTGAAAGTAA